CCCCCCCCCCCCCCCCCCCCGCAGCCTGCACTGCCTGCTGCGTGGGGGGAGGGAAACACACAAATCCTGTTCACTTGTTAGCCCCTCTCCCCCCCCCTTCAACCCTGAAAAGGCCATTAAACCGTTTTGCGTGATGCTCACCTTTGTTGTCGTTCATGCACGTTCAAGTTTTCTTAGGTTTTTTTTATAGCAAAAACAAGGCCCCCAGCCCCCTCTCTGTCACATGGTCAAGCTCTCGTTTGATAGGACACTACATGTTTTTAAATGCTACGAGGTTTTAAAATATAGATTTCATTTCTTTTGGGGGGCATATTGTATAAGTTGCCTCTGTGATCTTAATACAACTCTGTTGTTTGAAGCCGCCTTCGAGCATTGGTGTTTTCTGGGGCTTTTTTGGGTTGGTTGAACAGGATCCCTTCTGACCCAGGCCCACCCCCCTTCTGCCTTGTTTGTGACTTGCTAAGCTGGGGGCTCTTGGCCTGAGGGGGGGGCTGTTGTTTCAGGACCCCCTGGGCAGAGAGAAAGGGAGACATCATGTTTTCAAAGTTGCTTTAATAATATTTGCCGGATGCACTGATGACATAAAGACAGGTTTAAAAAACAAAAATCCCCTGGCTGTTTTTTTTTTTTTAAATATAGTGGCAAAGCTCTTTTATATACTGGATCGATTTCAGCATATTTATTTTTTCAACCTCCTTGAAAATTAATGGATGAGCCAATGTGTTTCCTAGGAATGCTTTGGAATTCAGAGCTTATTGTGTGTATAAAAATATTAAGCTAATTATTAATTATTTAAATTATTGGCCAGCATTAAATAAGCTGTAAATAAGTTTTAAAGATGAAGAAGAGTGAATTCTTTATCCCATTCCCTGCCTCCATTTCTTCTGTTGGAGAAATATTTTCCTGCTGTGATGGGTTTGAGCTCTTTGAAAAAAAACCTGTAAAATTGGGCAGAACAATATTTACCTGCCTTGCAAGATTTCTGTGAGTTTTATCTTTGGAAAGCCATTTGAAGGTGAAAATAATTCTTATTTGACTTTATTTTTCCCATCCGTTGTGGTAGGGTTACTGCTTGTTTGGTACTGCTTGTTTGTTACCTAAGGGCTAGATTTTTCAGAGTTGCCAAGCTTCCCATAGCTGCCTCCAATCAAAATAAAACGGAGTGGGGGAGGGCATGAAATCAGGCCCTTTTTAAACTTTAAAGAGAAACAGACAAAAACAAGTGGGAGGGAGCTCCTACAAGTGGAGGGGGTAAGAAGTCCCAGCCTACCAACAGCCTGAATGATAACTTGTCTGAACCCTTTGATAAATGAGTTGAGGTTTTGTTTTTTCATTTGCTGCATGCCAGGAGCAACAGAATTGGTCTGAATTAGTGGACTTGGCAGCAAAAAACAAACATACAAGTGTGTCTGGTCAATAGAAGGCTTGTTCCTGCCTCTGGATGCCGTGTGAGGACTTTCACTGCGTTCCGAGGCACAGAAGTTTGAAGCTGGGGATTTGCAAGCAATGTTTCTTTCCTTTTTTTACAATATTCATCAGAAGAGTGGGCAGTTTGCGCTAGTCATTAAAATATCTCTTCCCCTCCCCCATGGTTTTCTTTAGGACTGCCACTGTTGAGTCTGTGGGAGTATGAATCAGCAGCAGCAGCAGAGAATGGCTGCAGTTGGGACAGACAAAGAACTCAGTGACCTGCTGGACTTCAGTATGGTAAGCAAGCTCTTTGGGGGGGGGCTTTAAAGGAACAGTAGCTTCATTTATTTTCAGTGCTCTTGAGATCTGGAAGAATTGAGGTGGGGGAGGGGGGAAGGAGGGGATGTAAGCCTGTACAGTGAGGTAATTGGGAAGTGAGTTTCAGAGATGGTGAGTGCATGTGTGCTAGTTTTTGTCCCCCTTCATCCTTCCCCGCACCAAGTTAAGCAACAGGGGACTCTGAGCATCACTAGTGAAGACTTTCCTTGCCGTGAGCGCGTGTTGATCTTTGGGTGGGAAAGTTTCGTGGAAGCCAAAAACATGAGTCTGTTCTACGTCAGCACTCTCAGCAAAATGGGCAGGATAGTGACTTCTGAAGATGGGAATATGTAACTAATGCAAGGATGTAACTTGATTTAACAGTTCATCAAACTGTGTTTCCTCTTCCCAGATCCAAATTGTTGAATTCATGTCCCTTGCAGATTATTTTATCTTAGTTTGCAGTTTTACACAGCAGTACTATCTATCTATCTATCTATCTATCTATCTATCTATCTATCTATCTATCTATCTATCTATCTATCTATCTATCTATCTATCTATCTATCTATCTATCTATCTATCTATCTATCTATCTATCTATCTATCTATCTATCTATCTATCTATCTATCTATCTATCTATCTATCTATCTATCTATCTATCTATCTATCTATCTATCTATCTATCTATCTATCTATCTATCTATCTATCTATCTATCTATCTATCTATCTATCTATCTATCTATCTATCTATCTATCTATCTATCTATCTATCTATCTATCTATCTATCTATCTATCTATCTATCTATCTATCTATCTATCTATCTATCTATCTATCTATCTATCTATCTATCTATCTATCTATCTATCTATCTATCTATCTATCTATCTATCTATCTATCTATCTATCTATCTATCTATCTATCTATCTATCTATCTATCTATCTATCTATCTATCTATCTATCTATAAAATTCATTCTCATGGGAATTATGTTCTTCTGTACCCTATCACCTTGCCCCCTCCAAAACCCTTAAGCCTCCAAAATAAGATTTGGGGCGCTCATGACAAATTAACACTGGCTAGCAAGTTACCCAGAGAATGTCTCTGTTTTTTTGGGCTCATTTTTAGTAGTAGCAAGCAAAGGCTGCGACCCTGTAAACATACAAATATACTTAGCCTCACACACACCATTGAAATCTATTGAAGTCGCTGGTACTACTGCGGCATGTCAAGGCAAGCTTGCGAGTGTTTGCAGGATCAGGGCCTGTATGTGACGTTTGTAGTTGGTGAGTGACTCGTGGAAAGAGTTACGCTGTTTTGAACACAAACTCCAGCTTGGTTCCTCTGTAGTGTGCTGCTCCCTAATGACACTTGGCATGTGTGTCTTGCTTTGTAGATAAGCAAACCTAACATAGAAACTGGAAAAACACAGCTACACACAGAGGAAAAACCATTAAATAGCAATGAAGACATTAGTCTTCTGGGCTGCTCTGGATGTACCTAGTTATTGTGAGTGACAGCTTTGTGATAACTTTTTCCCCTTGGGGTACAAAATAAGGGATCATGGTCACAATTCCTTGTCCCTTATTTCCTTTATAATTTATACTGTGTCGCTTTTGGATCCCTGCATAAAGATTTAACGTAAACAAGACAATTTCTCAGAGTACAGCTAGCTAGCAGCATTCAATAAGAAGCTCCAAATTGCACAGGCCATCATATGTATCGACCTGTGTTATCATGACCTGTCTCCCTCTCCTTGCCCTGCGTGAGAATTCCCATGGTGGAAGAACAGGAAGAACTCCTCGCCACTTGCAGCTGATGGGAGGTTGAACCAATTAAAAAGTAACAGGAACATACAGCCGCTCCCCGAGTTGCAAACGGTCGAGTTACGACCGTTCACACTTACGACCAAAGCTCCCATGGAGCAGTCGTAAAGGCGGTCCCCAAGTTACGAATGCGATCCGCACTTACGAACAGCACGGTCATGTGTAACTCAGTGGGGTCCGAGTTACGAACAACTCAAGTTACGGCCAAGTGTTTGGTCCGTAACTCGGAGAGAGGCTGTATTCTGTGGCTGTCGGGAACCGTGGTGATGCTGTCCATCAAAAATACAAATGTGTGCAGAGTTCATTGGGGAAGAATGGGCAACTTGCTTTCTCCTTTACTTTAGAAGTCTCTGATCCCTGTGTCAGGTGCTCTGGAATTCACGGCTTGCTTGTATGTGTGAGTGATCCAGCTTCTGAGCCGCAATATCCATGATCAAGTTCAGGGTTAGATTGCTGCTTTCTTTCTCCCCTTCCAAAAAGGATTGCCAGTGACTATTTGCAACTTACTTTCAAATTTGCTATAAACCAGTGGTGGGCAACCTGTGGCCCCCGGGGCGCCACCTGTGGTTCACGGACCTCCTAGCTGCCCCCACGCCTCTTGCACACCAGGGCACAGGAGCCCTGCACTTCCTGCTCCTCCCCCCTCCCTCCCAGCACTTTGGGAGCCATGAATTGCCTGGTTCGCACTCCCTCCCAGAGCTGGAACGCCTGGAATCAGCTGTTTGCATCCTTCCAGCTCTGGGAGGGAGAGGGAGAATTCATATGCTCCAAAAGTGCTGGGAGGGAGGGAGAGGAGCAGGTAAGTGTGGAGCTTTGGTGCCCTGTACCTGAGAGGCAAAAGTGGTAGATGGGGGAGACACAGGACTGCAGGTTAAACATCCACGTGCTCCTTCCTAGTTGCTCATCCCTGCTATAAACTGTCCTTATTTTCAACCCTCGCAGTTGTTCGTGGCCATTATGATAATTTACATTACATAAACCCTCTTTATATTACAAAACTCTCCCTGGGCCTAGGAAGTTTGATCTGGAGGAAAGATTCAATACATTGGGTAGAATTCCTGTTCTCTTACATTAGTGTAAATGTACAGTGACCTCAGAAGTTACACCAGAGTCAGTCCAGTGTCAGACTGGAATTTGGAGCATTGTGTCCCCATCACGCTTGTGCAATTAGCTCCAGGTTGGCAGACCTTTGTCAGTGGGGCTTCAGGTGAGCACTAGGATCCGCTGCTTGCGGGAAGGGGGCCTGAGACAGTTTCCGTCAGAGCTCTGTTTTGGGGCTGGGTTATCTCCATTATAAGTCAAGCCTGATCCTGCATTGTCGTGTCAGTGGGAATCCTTTAATGTGTTTTTAACTGGGCCTGTTGTGTCCATCCGCACTTGGACATGGAGGTACTTTTTTGCCTAAAGGGGTCTCTAGGAATAACAAATATCCCACTGAGAATGAGAATTTAAAAACCTATACTATCATCATACTCATTAGCTAGCAGATACTACATGTTTGTTAAGCGTAGTATAGAACTGGAGTGAGGAGTCTAAGGCCCGGGGGCCAGATGCGGCCCCCAGCTTGCCCGGATCTAGTTCTAGAGGCTCTCCCCCAGAATTGGGGGGGCCTGTACTGGCACTCCAGCCCCCCTGCTGTGCTCCCCTAGGCTCTGGTGTGCATAGGGAAATATGGGGAGTGTCTTTCTCCTTAATCAGGGGCCACATCAGTGAGGGTTGGGCATTTTTTGGCTTCTCGCTTTTTGTGTGTGGCCCCCAACCTGACTTTTCTGTGGGTCAGCAGTCCCCGACCCAAAAGGTTCCCTGGCCTTTGTATAGAAGTTACATAGTGAAATCTTTGGAGAATGGGATGTAACTTCTTGTCTTGTGGTCTGGATCACATAGCTTTCTCCCCCCTCCCCTCATCTCTGAGTAAGCAAGAATGAAAAGTTTTCCTAGTGGTCTGTCAGACTAGGTTAAAGGAGTGAAGACTATTGAGTCAAGGGTTTTGTGGTTTAGCAACTTCAGTTTAGACCAGTGTTTTCTGTCTTTTTCTAGGGGAAATACATTGCCCACCTGTTGTGGTTTTTGGACCAGCTCTGAGCTGGGTGAATTTTATGTCCTGACTGCTAGTGGTTGTGTATAAAAGGGCGGCCTAATCCTTATTGGGGGGGGGGTGTGTGTGTGTGTGTGGAAATACTGAAAATGTCTCTTCTATCTTGGGGAGAATGATCTAGATCTCAAAAAAAGAGAAAATTCAGTATTAATTGAACTGCAAAAGCATTGGTCCAAAGCTTTCTACCAAAGTAACTTGCCAATAAATGATAGTGTAGTCGATTAACCGATAAACAAAAGCTTATAGGGTAATGCTATAGACTACATGCATTTCTCCCCCACCCCTTGCCAGTAAATTTTTTTTTTAGGAGGCTGCCCAAGAGCGCAGGTTGGTCCTGGCTTGCACTGGGTCCGGGACCTACCCCTGCTGCGGCTCTGCATTTAAAGTATATTAGGAGCTGGTCAGGCAGTCAGCCTGACTCAGTTCCAGCTTGCACTGGGTCTGGGAGCTCAGACCTCCCTGCTGGACAGGGGCTGCTGCCACCCCACGCTGCTGCCTCTGTATCAGAGACAGCAGCGCAAGATGGCGGGGAGCCAGTTTTTAAACTGGCTCCCCTTGCAGACCGGCTCCCACCTGGCACCCAGCACTGTTATCTCTAATACAGAGGCAGCAGTGTGGGGTGGCAAGGGGCTCCCTGGGAGTGGGGCCAGAGTGCACTGGATGCCAGCCCCACCCTCAGGGACTATAGACTAGTTGGCTAACTGGTAAGAATTCATGAGGTTAATCAGTGATTGAATTAACCGATATTTAACATCCCTAATTCAGGCCACTGCTGAACTACTTTTGTCTGAGTGCATTCTGGGGCACCCAGCACTGTTATCTCTAATACAGAGGCAGCAGTGTGGGGTGGCAAGGGGCTCCCTGGGAGTGGGGCCAGAGTGCACTGGATGCCAGCCCCACCCTCAGGGACTATAGACTAGTTGGCTAACTGGTAAGAATTCATGAGGTTAATCAGTGATTGAATTAACCGATATTTAACATCCCTAATTCAGGCCACTGCTGAACTACTTTTGTCTGAGTGCATTCTGGGAAAATGTGGACAGCTCTCCCTTG